CCCTATACAGGGGTAGGGTTGGCTCTTCTATCACTTATGGACTTCAACTCCCAGAATTCCTGAGTGAGCCATAAAAGGTTCTCCATCCCTGGCCTACTGGTTTTTCAGTTGTGGGGGAAATCAATTTTTGACTTGAATGGGACTGTTTAATCTACAAATGTAGGACATATTCTTTATATGTCCTACCTTTGTATATTAAACATATTCTTTATATGTCCTACACTTGTATATTAAACATATTCTTTATATGTCCTACACTTGTATATTAAACATATTCTTTATATGTCCTACATTTGTATATTAAACAGTCCCATTCAAGTCAAAAATTGATTTCCCCCACAACTGAAAAACCAGCAGGCCAGGGATGGGGAAACTTTTATGGCTCACTCAGGAATTCTGGGAGTTGAAGTCCATAAGTGATAGAAGAGCCAAGTTTCCCTACCCCTGCCCTATACCATTTCAGACAAATGGTTGTCCAATCTCTTCTTAAAAACTTCCAGTGTTGGAGCATTCACAACTTCTAAAGGCAAGTTTTCCATTGATTCTGTCAGGAAATTTCTTCTTAGTTCTAGGTTGCTTCCTTCCTTGATTAGTTTCCATCCATTGCTCAGTGCAGAAAAGGAATAATTGAAAATTCAGGCAGTACAGTATTTGTGAAAGTTAAGTCACAGGTATTATACAGTCCATCTGGATTGAAACCCTGAAGGGAGAGCCAAATGGAGTTGGACTTTCTGCAAAGCCCAAAAGAAGAGGGATAGCGCCCTCTGGTGGAATGATTGCTGTAGGTGACAACTGACAGAAAAATGAGTGGAAATGCACTGTACAGCAGAGGTCTCCAACCTTGGCAACTTTAAGACTTGTGGACTTCAACTTGTGGACTTCAGCATAGCTGGCTGGAGAATTCTGGGAGCTGAAGTCCACAAGTCTTAAAGTTGCCAAGGTTGGAGACCTCTGCTGTACAGGACATGCTTTTGATGAATGTACACAACTCTCTTGTCTATTATTTATACTGTTCAGACAAGGTTTTGTATCTTGACGCATTTGAAACTGTTTTCTGGGCATAACCTTGGCAGCAGCAGTATTCTCAAATCTCAATCTAAAATGTTACTCCTTCATTTTCTTAAAATACCAACGACGTACATAGTAAACAATTGTTCTCCTTTTGTACTGGAATAATTGTTCTTCTTTTGTGTGGATTTATCAATTAATTTTCTGAAATAATTTGTAAAAAGCAAATTGTAGCTAGTTGGATTTTGGCCACAACAGTTGCATTGTGGAAGAAAAAATAAGGAGTCAGATTGGCCCAAATCTCCGTTGCAAAGCGAGACAACTGTTCAGTGAGCTTCCACCCACCTTACGACCAGTCTTGCCACCGTTTAAGTGAGTAGATGCAGCTCTTAAGTGAGTCACACAGTCACTAAGTGAATCTGGCTTCCCCGAATCTTCGTTGCAAAGTGAGACAGCTGTTCAGTGAGTTTTCACCCACTTTACAACGGAGATTTGGGGAAGCCAGATTTACTTAGCGACTGTGTTACTCACTTAAGAGCTGCAACTACTCACTTAACAACAGTGGAAAGACCGGTCATAAAGTGGGTGAAAGCTCTTGCTTAACAACCAAAATTTGGGGCTCAGTTGTCATAAATCAAGGACTATCTCTGCCTTCCTCTGCATGGCAGCCTTGCCTAGTAAACTCTTTCTCTTTTCTGGAAATTTCTCCTCTATGTTAGAGATACCAAAATAACCCAGATGACATAAGGTCTCCTGCTGGAACAGCGGGTTGGACTATGACCTCTGAGGTCCCTTCCAGCCCTGGATTGCTGTGCTCTTTCAAAGTATCCTCTGAAGCTGCAAGGTGTTTGTGGTCCTTCCTTCCTCTCCTTTTCCCCTCCCTCCCGCCATCCATTCATATCTCGTTCACTTTCCCTTCCCTTCCCTTCCCTCCCTCTTTCTCTTTTTCTTTCTCTTTCTTTCTTTCTTTCCTTCCTTCCTTCCTTCCTTTCTTTTCTTTCTCTCCCCTTCCCACCTTGGATGAAGCCAGTGTGTTTATCCCCCCCTTGCTCTTCCCTACCCTTACCTACTTACCCCCTCCCCTTCCTTCTCCTAAAAAGCTTTTGGCTTTCCTAAAGCCATTGGGCTGCAGCCCCTCCCCCAAGCACCACCACCACTGCACCGTGGCTTGTGGCTGCTGGCATTGGCAGCTAGCTGATTGATTGGTGGCTAACTGTCCTGGGTGATGAAAAACCCAGGACGTACCATGCTTCGGCAAATCGGCCATGCCGAAACATGTGGGACGGAGGGGCCTGGCCCAGGGCGAATGGGTGGGGGGGTGTCAGCCGAGGAGAAAAGTCAGAGGAGAATCACCTGAGGAGGAACACTGGTGGAGAAAGGGGTGCGGCCAAGGGTAGGAGACGAAAAGTCCTAGACTCAGAGGAGGAGAGTGACACCAATTTACTGTTACTCTTGAACCTTTGAGACAACTCTTTGAAGAAGGGACAAAACTAGGGGAACACACATATTATTTTCCTTAACTTGTCCTATGTTAAATTTGTAAGAGCAGTAGCAGTTGTCAGCCTTGATAATAAGGTAAATAGAGTATGGCCATCATAACAATGCAATTTATATACATTTCTTCTCCTTGGATGATTGGAGGAATATGTATAAAAGAAGGACTGTAAAGAAACACTTTAAGAATCAAGTCCTTCCAATCTGCAGCTTTCTAGGACTACCAACAAAAAGATTTTATGCATTTTTCTCCTTAACACAGAGGTGGAGAACAATGGTCCCTTTATGACTTATGGACTTCAAATCCAAGAATTCCCAAGCCAGCATGGCCATATTCCCCACCCCTCCCTTAACAGATTAAAAAAGAAGAGGAGGAGGAGGAGGAGGAGGAGGAAGAGGAAGGGTGAGATGGAGAACAAGAGAATTACAAATGAAATTAGGGAATATCACATGTATACACTCCCAAGATTCAGTTTTTAATAAATGTAATTGTTGAATAAAAGCCTTGTTTAAGAAATGCAGGTACCATACGTTTGAAATTTGTTTCCATTTTTATTTTCCCAATTTTTAATGTAATAGCAAAACAACACTCTTGTGTGACACCTAGTAGGTTTTATTACAAATAGCACCTGCTGATTTAAAGAAGAAAATTCATTTGCAATCACACAAAACTCAAGAGCTGTTTTTCATAGAGGTTTTTTTATGCTAGCCTACCAGGTGTATAATTGACCAAGAAACTTATATTTCCTACAAATGCACAGATAATTGTCCTATTTATTGCTAAATATTGAATGGGAATGCTGCCATTCGAGCCAACCACTGAAATGGACCATGGAGTGCCAGGTGGCATTTAGAAAGCTCAGACCAGTCTTCTCTGCTGAGCCAGTGCTAAAACACCCAGACTCAAACAAATCATTTGTCATGATAAATGTCATGTCAAAGCCCCTAAGTTACCTAAACACTTTCATGGTCAATATCCTGACAAACCAACATGACTGTAACCTTTCTTTGCTTTCCTTTCTCTTCCCCTTTTTCTCTTCCAGGTGCAGATCTCCTGCTTTTAAGGGGGGGGGGCAGCATGTCAGGTTCCTGTTGGAACGCTGCCATTCTGAGGCGGAGAGGGGGCTTTGTGGGTTGAATGCTTTGCATGCTTTGCTTTTGTTGTAACTGCTTGGGAGTTTGAGGGAAGAGAACCAGCCATCTACACAGGCTGCCTCTCAGCTGATTCCAGTCTGGTATTCAAGGTGCTCCAATGAAGACATCTTCTCACCATCCCACCTCGGAATTTTCAAAACACCTGTGCAGCATTTTATTGGCTACCAAATGGACATGGGACATTAGAGTCGGGGTTGAAGGAAAGTTAGCCTAATGCTTCACGTGTGAATTTCATAGCTGCCTGACTTCTCTGCAATCACTGTCGCTCAGTAAAAGTTCCTTTTGAGATGCAAACTGCTTGAAGAGTTTTATTTTCTTGAGAAGATAGCTGAGGCAGGTCCTTACAGCATGCTTCTGATATTTGTTTCTGAAAATCAGTATTTAACCTACTTCTCCCAAGACATCAATATTGCTCTAAATATGAAATCCAATCATCTTTATAGAATTCAAACAATAGCTATATTGGGTACCATACTTGGTAGGAAAGACATTCAAAATTCATAATGTTGTTCTTCAATATTACTGAAGCAGGCTATAACTAAAATATAATTAACTTTTTGGCTCTTTTCTCTACAATCGGCTACAAAATTGGCTATTATAAATCACATAAGCATCTAACTGAAAAATGTTTATATACTGTATATAATTTTAGAAGTTAGTTTCATACTTAACATATAATTCCAATAAATTCCAATAAATAGGGTAAGCAAAATATTTTAATTCCCAGCTACAAAAGTGCTACTTCAAATGTTCTGATTATGAAAATTAGAATAATGAATTTAAACACTATGAGTATTGTGTTTACTTAGCAGCCATATATATTTATTTTGTATTCTTTAAATTGTTACAATTGTTTTGTGTTGTTAGGATGTACTTTGTCCAGAGTCATTTGTTGCAATGGACAGGTTACCTGTTTTGGATTAAGGGTTGCCTGTAAGGCCTGTGGAATATGCTGCAATATGTGACTGGAGTAAGGCAGAATGTTGATATAGGCAAGAAGATATCTTGGTTTTTGTTCCAATGCTTATTTCCCTCCAGTCAGTGTATCATCTTCCAACCATTTTAAAGCATTGGTTGAAATTGGCTATGTTTAATTTTAATTCCCTTAGAATCATAATTAGCAGAAGAGTTTGGCTTGGAATTGTAGAAAATCTTTTGGAGGGATATACAGAAAATTGAACATAATTTTCTTGAAATTTTATTGGACTAGAAGAAAATGAAAAAAACGTAATATTATTTAGGAGAAAAAACAAGTTAATAAAATTTACTCAATGTACATTTTATTGATTCTTTAAACTATGCATAACAAACTTTATAAAAGTGTTGAAAATTATACAGAAAATATAGCATTTAATTTTTTTTGGTGGAGTGGATGGGGAGGGAACAAAAGGGACAGGAATGGGTAAAGATAGAAATGGAAATCTTACCTCAGATAGAAAAGAAACAAGTCTGCTGCTTCAAACATTCAGCAAGCAAACCAGCTAATAAACTAAAGAAATAAAAGTCATATACTCAGCAAAATTAACCAATGATTTCAGTGAAAGAGTTCAATATGTGTTCAAATTCTCAATTATTGAACTTTAACGTGACTGAATTAAAATTAATTTCTTTCCATGTTTTTGTAATTTATATCCATTATTCTTGAAGTTCAGATTCTCTTGCATCTTCTTCCTTTTCTTCAGCTATGGTTTCGGAGGGAAGAAGAACAAACTAATATTAAAAATAGCAACTCTCTGTTTTGTAAGTAGTTGTTCAAACCAAAACAGTTCCTTGAGTGTCTTAAACTAAAAGCAAACATAGACAATGTTACAAGAGGGGAAAGAAAGAATGGAGAAAAATAGGTTTAAAAATGTTAAGAAAATCTTGGAGAAAGCAGGAATGTGAAGATTAAATACAGATTATAAGGAAAGAGAATTGTATACAATCATAGATTTGTAAGGTTTTTAAAAAAGATTTTTGTATCATCCATTGTTAATAAATATTTGGTTTGGCAGTTTTGTGCAATGCTACATTCCAAAACTACGATTCAGGAACAGAAAGTCTAATTCCTTCATCCCATTCAAAAACAATACAGTCCTGAATTACATGAACAGAGTCATCAAAGTGGTGGGGGGGCAGGAAGGAGAAGCAAAAAACTCAACATGGCAGGCACAACCATATGATCTTGCCTTTGCCCAAACTGCAGTTTCTTCACCTTCTTTTTTTTTTTGTAAACAGCAAAAAGCTTCCCAAGATGATCTCATGCGGCAGAGAGACTGGAGAGGAGACAGCTCATTCAATCTTTGCAAGGTAAGTGATCTGGCATGGTAGGATGGAGGGGGGAAGCAATCGTGGAAAGCATGAGGTATTTCAGTGATCATGGAGGCCTTGAATAGTCCTAAACAGGTGGCCTGTTCCATCACAACCCTCCCCCCACCCCATGGCCTTCCCTACCCTGAGATACCTCGTGTGCAGTTAAGATTAGCAAATGTGTGGGCAAAAGCAGGGAGTGATTGCGGTCAAGTTATGTGATTCACTCCTACAAATCCTCAAATTACTAATGTAATTGGCAGTCTCCCTTACATTTGTAATTCAAGGACTATCTGTATTGGCTTTTCATAAGGCCATGAAAACTTGGTTGTGTGCCCAGGCTTAGAGACCCGAGATTCTAAGACAGTAAGAATGTTCTGCCATTTCCACAAAACTACAAAAAATCTTAGCTGTCTCTACCATGTTCAGGCATTTTAAGTCACCAGCTGGGTAACTTTAAGCTAGTCACTCTTTCTCAGCCCAACTCATCTCACAGGGTTGTCATTGTAGGGAAAATAGGAAAAGAAAGATATGTTTGCCACCTTGAGTTATTTATGAAAATAATAAAGGTGAAAAAAATCTTTTAAAAAGTGCGCGCACACACACACACACACAAAGTCTATAATGTATAAAGATCACTGCACAAAGACAATGTAGCATGCAGATGTGGCCTTTGGATTAATTTTGCCTTTTGGTTTTCTTCTCTCTGTTGGGTGTTGCTAGCTCACAGTGGATTATCCCTAATTTTTTTGCTTTCAACATGAAAATATGCTAATAAGAGATTTGTCTTCTTGACAGAAAGACTAACTCCCATTGTCAGCAGTCCTGGACAGGCAAGTGAAAGGGAAGCCTATCCTATCTTAGAGTAGACATTGTGCTGTAGATCATTTAATCAAAAAAAAAGGAGATAAATTATATAAATACTTAAGCAGCAGAAGTCCCTTTTGAGTAACCAGCTTACTTATTCACTTTGTGTTCCCCTCACCCTGATCTTTCCCCTCACCCTGATCTGCTTGGTCATCTTTAGCTGCCTCCTCTTCTTCCTCCACATCTTTTGGTGAAGTGGCCTCTCCTGCTTCTGCAGCAGCCTCAGCACTTTCTGAGGGCCCTTCAGCAGCACTTTCCTCACCAACTGAAATGAAGGTATGGAGAAGGGAAGGAAAAATTAGAAAAGCAAGTAATATCTGCCTTACTTAATTCCATGTTATTTCTTTTAATTAATAATGTATGGCATGAAATTCTCCTTCTAAACAGATGACAAAAGTCTTTTTCCTTGAAAGACAAAGATGGCAATAGAAATTCCTAACACAGAGAAAGAAAACCAATTGATTAAAACAATGTAAAAGCATTAAAGAAAAAAGAGTAGTCTTGCTTTTTTCTTCTCCCACTGCCATCAAAATCCATAAAAAGGTCTCATTGAAGGAGCAGATTTTCAAAAGATATGATTTCAAGGATAAAACATTCTAAAATTCAGGCATTATTACAGGATCCATACACGAGTATAAAATAACATGTATCGATCCAGTAACATACTGCAGGGCCTCCTGTGCTTCTCTTAACACTCAAATAGTTCTACAAAGAGTCAGTTTAATATCTTGATCTTCAACTAGTGTCTTATATGTCATAGTTAAAAACTTGAATATAGTTTGGTGGTTAACTATTTCTTTGGTGGTTGAATATCAGTACACCGGTTTCAACAGGGGTAAAATACGCATAGCCAAGTTTCTCCTATCAACAACGTTGCTTTCACTTTCTACACCAATGGCAGTTTCCAGATCAAATGTAAGGTTAACTCCACATAGATCACATTACAATAATTTGCAGTATACATAAGGTAAGCAGCCTCTGAACAACTGTAGCTAAACAGTACCTATCTAGAAAAAGATATAATTGTTATGTTAGCAAAAACTGGTAAGAACTACTCCTTACAGATAATACAGATTTTTGGCAATACAAACAATGACAGTGAGGACTCTGGATTTCCCCTAACAGTATATCTTTCTGGGAATGTGCAAAACTGATCTATCAAGTTGGCATCCCCTGAATTAAATGAAGATTCATGGATGCACAAAGGATTACTGATAAGTCAAAATACAAACCTGCAGGAACTCCTGGTTCCTCAGCTGATAGACCTTCTGCAGCTGCTGGAGTTGCTGCTGGAGGAGGTGGTTCTTCAGGTACCCACAGTGTTAGGTCAGTAATTTTTGTGGCTTTCCATTTGGGAGCCACTGGTACCAAAACCTCTTCCTCTTCCTCTTCTTCTGTTTTCTCCTAAAAAAAGATGAATAATAATACAATAATAGAAATGAAAAAGGAAATGTCCAATCTATTTGTGATAAAAGCTTTTCTCGAGAGTTTATGAAGACCCATGCATAACAGACCTCATGCATCTCAACAATGCACAGAGCCAGATATTTCGCCAAATCTGGATTAATAAAACATGTTCCTCATCGGTGCTGTTTAAAATTGTCTAAAAACCTCAGATAGGTTTTCAGAATGTTACAGCCTAATTATTGGTTAGGATCAAAGGTAAGGAGCAATACTACAAAAGGTAAGCTATCTGCTGGTCAATTTTTGATCATAACACAAATACAAACAAAAACAGTTTTTGGACCTACCAGAAGTACTTGTAGGTCCACTCCTCCTTGCTGCTTCATTGTTAGGGGTCTTCAAACAGACTATTTTCTCAAAAATCTTCTATATTTAAACATTGGAACTATTTGCTGGGAGAGTTTTGTCTAAATCTATATTTATGACCTTATCACTTCTATTAAATGACAATTCTTGCTTTGACTAATTGGTTTGAAATATTTCTTTCACTTTGCTACGTTAAGTCTAATTAAACAGATTCCATTTTTTAATCTGTGCATTGCTTCTATTATTTCATTATCCTTAAAATGATGCTGAAAGAATCCAGTCTCCATTCTGGAAATATTTACCAAGAAATCCTATACTAGGTACTTCAACAACAACAACAAAAATGTAAAGACTGAATCCTGGTGTTTTCTTATACTTTTGATGGTTCAAGAATTTTTGCCCTAGGTGCATGGAGAATTAAAGGAGAATCACATGACAAAGCATGTACTGTGGCACAAACTCCATCCCTTAAATATATAAGTGCTGCTAGATATATTTGCCATGCAGTATTTCATGAAATTTATTTTAAGAAAACTATAGGTCGTCCCATTTACCATTGATTTGTCTTGCAGTACAACAAAGTCCCATTTCTGTTGCACTTTCCCTAAAATTCACCTTAATCCAACACAGTTCACTCAACCATCTGGAAACCCTAGGAAGTAAAGTATTTTCTCTGCCAACATAAATTGCAAAAATAATCTTCTATAAATAAAAGTGAACCATCATATTAAAACAAAAACAAGCAAGCAAGCAAAAATTGTTAAAATAACTGTTTAGGATATGTCGGGGTTATAATGCCAATTAATACACCAAAAGAATTTTTACCCCACATTTCTTTCTAACTGGTCACATCATACAGAATCATTCTATTTCGAAGCCAAATGGCACCTCTTTTGAAAAAGCAGAGGTTTCAATAGCTAAATGTTTCTCATAATTCTGAATAGAAGGCATTTCCTTTGTTACTCCTTCTTTTTCCTTGGTTTGTACGGTACTGTATGAGCTAAGCAAATTACAAAAAGAATGAAATGAAATGTTATTTTTATTATGCAAAAGTTTAAAAGTTCAAAAGTTCAAAATGTCTAACAGTCATGTGTGTCTGAAAACTAGGTATGCTTGCTTTACATTTATTTATTTGATTGATTGATTTCTATAGCTGCCCATCTCAGCAAACAACTCTAGGACCTCACAATTCACAAACATATTATAATTAAAATCTTAATAACAATAAAACAATAAAAACAGTAAACAATAAAAACATTAAAACTTCAAATTTGAGTATGTACAAAGCAAGACATCTGGTCTCACATATTTTGTAATATGTTGTGTCAGTGGCTAGTAGCATCTCGTTGCTTTGAACATAAGGCAGTTCTTTGCCATCTGTTTAACAAAATAACTTTTTGTGTGGATTTTTATAGCAAATATTGAATGCCATAACTTGTTCAGATTTGCATTGAAGATAAGCGAATTGATAAATCATAGGTAAGTGAATTCTATATGGAATCAAGACATCAAAAAAAGGGGGGGGAGGAGGAATGAAACCTCTGGTGTTAATTCCTTTGTGCATAAAGGAGCCCTAAATTCAAGAACGATAGGGTGGCCTGTTTGCATACATGGCAATCCATTTTCAATAACTGAACAAAATTGTAAAACTTACTTTTGATTTGGGCAAACTATCGATACATCACGGTGACAACAGGAAAGTTCTTAAAATCTTCCTTTAATGAATGATAATTAATGCAATCACTAGGTCGGGGGTGTCAAACTCACGGCCCACGGGCCAGATGCATCACACGCTGACCAGGCCCATCTCCAGTTTAGTGAAGGGGGGAAAGTTGCGATACGCCACGTGATGACAATGTGTCATAGCGAGTATGACATCCCTACACTAGGTGATTCCACTGACCTTGCAAAGTTAGGGAAAAGTGAATATTGCACAGAACTCTCTTCCACCCTATTTGGCCAAGATCAGTGTGGATTCAAGGCAAGTCTTGCGACAAAAGAAAGGTGGGGGAGGGAAAGAAAACCAAAATCACTTTCTCTTCTAGAAAAAACAAGGCAAATGGTTGAAGTCATTTTAGCAGTGTTAGCTCTCAAAACCTTGCCTTGTTGTTTGAAAAAGTACGTGTAAATTAAAATATACAGTTTGTTGTAACAGTAATTACTTTATTACTTAACTATGACAGAATTAAATAAAGTAAAATAAAATCATAATCCTGAGCTTCCTGGTTGTTAATATGATTAACGTAATCCAGTAGCACTTACCTCCTGAGTATATTCACCATGCTGCTCACATCCAATATCAAATATATACTTCCCAGGACCTAAAGGCTGTATAAACAAAGGAACTTATATTAGTAGCATTTTGACAGTTTCGTATTCTAAAAACACAAAATATTTCCACAATTATGCTGAGCATACATGGCATCTATCATCTTCAGGGTTGTATAAGAATAAACAGCTTAGTTTATAAAGAAAACAAAATTTCAGAAAGGACTATATTCAGAAATCAGCAAGAAAACACTTCAACCTTGCAAAGTCTCTTGCTCCTGACTTGAAGATTGTTGCTACCCTATTGTTCATGAAACCTACTTTCATTTTCATTTAACTTAATTTCTACATTTTTCTATGTGTTCATTTATATACCATGCCTCTACCAAATTTAAGCCCCCAAACTTTATGCAACAATAAATGTGTTTTTTAATATGGTCCAGATTCTTAGTTTCTTTTGCTGCAGCCACTATGAAATTTGTATGCAAATAAAACAAATATGTTCTTCCTAGTCAAAATCTCCCTAAAGCTCCCTCAAAATAATGATTAAAAAATACTTGTTCATCTAAGCGACTGTGCAAACACTGGACTTTTTTGTACAAAATGAGCTTCTAGATATTAGACCTATCATTACTGAAATGGGATGAGATACAAAAGAAGCTGAAAATCTTTTATTTTCTATGCCTAATGTACATTTTTTTCAGACGTCAATATAATTTCATACATACATACGTTTTTATTCACAAACTTTCCCTGGAACCTGTGGTTTAGGTGAACAAGTTCAGCAGCTCCTTCTTGTTGCCCATTTGCCCAAGTGCCAATATATTTAGAACCAGTTAATGCATAGAAATAAGTACCTTGCCCATGTCTATTCGAGAGGGGGAAAAAGAGGTGTTTTGTATTAAGACAGAAGAAAATCTTATCCTCAATCCTGCATACAATCTTCCTCACGTTGCCAAGGAATCAATTAATTTAAATCAAGGCAAAATAAATACAGGCAGTCCTCAATTTACAACAGTTCACTTAGTGACCATTCAAAGTAATAATGGCACTGAAAAATGTGACTGATGACCGTTTTTCACACTTATGACCGTTGAAGTGTTCCCATGGTCACATGATCAAAATTCAGACGCTTGGCAACTAACTCACATTTATGACCATTGCGATGTCCCTGGGTCATGTGATCACTTTTTGCGACCTTCGGACAAGCAAAGTCAATGGGGTAGCCAGGTCCATTTAACAACCATCTTACTAATTTAACAACAGCAGTGATTCCATTAACAAATGTGCCAAGAAAAGTCATAAAATGGGGCAAAATTCACTTAACAAATTTCTCACTTAAAAACTTGAATTTTGGGCTCAATTGTGGTTGTAAGTTGAGGACTACCTGTAATTAAGTGTTAGAATAAATCTGATTTAAATCATTGGTTTAAATTAAATTACCTGCACTGAAATCTGTATGTGTTATACAGATACAGATATATTTTCACGAAGAATGCAAATCACTGGATTGCTACAGCTGGTAATGTATATTGATTTTCAGCTAAAAAGACTCTTCCTTTCTTTATTATCTTTATGTGACTGTACAATAACACTGTTCTCTGGATGGCTAATGGTGTAAAATAGTAAAAACTATAATCATAATCAAATCTAATCATTTTCAACACTAGGAGATAGTAAAAGAAAAGAAGATAACTAATAATAAATATTTTGGTTAGAATTATGACTTTTTTTGTTGTTAAATGAGATTTCTATGTCATCAGTTGCTCAGGAAAAAAACAACAATGAATATGTCAATGGTCCCTCTATTAACATTATTAGGGCTGTAGAAAATGCACAACCCATACTAGTTAGGAAATCACTGAGAACATTTTAATCTACTACAATCTATTAGTCTCACAATAAACAAACTAATTATACAGCCACAATCTCAAAAGATGATAGAAACTTTAACAACATTTGTAGAGGAGAACACAGAGCTACACTTATTATTTATAAGAAGTAAAACAGAAATGTGAAACTAGAAGAAGCAAACCTATAATTATTGAACCACTCTCCAGTGTATGTGTCTCCATTTATATAAGAGTAAACTCCATTTCCATGTCTTTGGTCATCCACCCAGTCTCCTGCAATGAATAGGCTTTATAAACCATAGTGTTGTCTTTAATTTGAATATCTATATTACTTTAAAGAAATGTGCACAGAAATTATGCAGTAATAAAAACAATCCAAATTTTATTATCATGATTGAGAGAGCCAGGTCACACTGAACTAAACAAATCCTATAGAAATGATATAAGAAAGTAATGACAGAGTATTAATTAGTTTGTTTATCAAACTTTTTATCTGGCCCTCTCCCCCATAAAATGTCTCTTATCAATCTCAGAAGTTGTAATGGTATGTGGGATACAGAAAAAAAGACATGCTGCTAAGGGAACAGTCGGATGAAAGACAACTTAGCCTGCAACAGGATAAGTGGGTTCAGGGGTTCAGAAAGGGATCCTCCCTAGTTTCTTGGGTTGTAAAAGAGACAGGGAAGAACTGTGCTTTCAGACTTGCAAGATTAATGTCCCTCTTGTGAGGTAGACCAGATAGGACGGCCAACCAGATGAGCAAACTCTATCTTAATGTAAGGTTACATTCTAGGCTCTAAATACAATAGAACTCTAGTTCCCCTGGCTACAATGACATCAGTTAGAAAGCCATGGAATGTAGTATCTTTAAAAAAAGATGTGATCCTTTTTCTATGCTAAATTGACTTCATGGGGAAATCTAACATTAAAAATTGAGGGAAAGAAGGCAATATGGAAAAAGTGGATGAAAGTGGGGATATTGACTTTGGATCAATTGATAGATGGTATGGATGACTTTTGAACATACACTGTTACCAAGAAACAAATTTCACCTATCAGATATGGCAATATTTACAGTTGCAACATCTCTTAATAACATTGTTTTGACCAGCAGAATTTTTTATTTCTGAGACACCCAGGATACCCAAACTGCTAGTTAAATCTTTTATTTAAAAAAACTATGATTAGTTTCTAAACAATTAATTAATAAATCATGTTGACATGCAGATGATAATAGATGAGTGGACCTAATCTGCTGAGACCTAATGTACATTTACTACTAAAGCAAAAAATAATATTCATAAACCACTAGGGCCCTGTCTCTGCAACTTCACCCCATTGTTGAGATCAGAATATGGATTGGGACACCCAGGGTAACTGTTTCTAAAATATCTTGCATTTAAGAGCAGAACAGGTGATGATTGTCATCTGTAATTTGGCTCTTTTTTATTCAAAAGTATTTCTAGATTCTTACTTTAGTACCGTGGCTGTCTCTCAGGGAATTACATAAAGAGATTGATAAGCAGTTTAAGAAAATTTTAAGAAAATGGGGACAGTGGCTTGCTGATGGTGGGAAAGTCGGTCCAATATTCCAGAGCTGCAGTAGTCACAGGCCTGGCCCTTTGGTCATCCTGGAATTTTTTTGGGATTTTCCCAGGGTCTCTGCAGAAAAAGCAGAAGCAGCAGAGACCCTGGGAAAATCCCCCAAAAAGTCTGCAGAAAAATTCCGTACACCATTTTCATACCGATCGATCATTCTTTATTTGGTATTGCAGGATACCGTTTCCAGCTCCATTCTCGGAAGGAAAGAAAGAGAAAGAGAGACTTTTGGCTTCATGCAAGGAAAGCAGCAGAAGCAGCAGAAGTCTTTCTTTCTCTTCCCCAAACTCTGCCAGAATGGTGCAGCCTCTTGGAGCAGGATGCCTTGCAGGGTCCCAAAGACTCATTTCTAGTGGAGCTTGGGGGAGAGAAAGAAAGACTTTTGCTGCTTTCCTTGTATGCAGCCAAAGGCAAAAAAAGAAAGAAGCGGAAAGAAGCAGCCCAATGGCTAGGCGAGGCACATGGGGTACATGGGGCAAGTTCACCCGCTCCACCCTTTCCCCCTCCTCTCACTACCTCGTGTTGTTCACAATGCAAGTGACGCAAGCCTTGTGTTCCTGCAGGCCATGTGGGCGGCATAGCCTTATGTTCCTGTGCAGTCTGGATTAATTTCTTTGGGGGGTGCTTTGGGGGTGACATTTCTCTGCGGACCACCAAAATTTTCTCACGGACCACCAGTGGTCCCCGGCCCACTGGTTGGCAACCACTGTTCTAGAACATCCCTGTTCCTTTTCCCCCACCCCTTTATCACATTATTGACAAACAATATATATTCTGGCTTTAGGGAATGTGCAAACTAAATCATAAAGAAATCTATTTTCACATGCATATTAATTATACTTAGGCATATTTCCTTCGATTTAACATTATTAGCTACATCTTCAATAATTTTCTGTCTATGATGTGGCACTATTTGAATGACAAAAATATAAGTACCTTCATATTTAGATCCATCTGGATAAATAAAGGTCCCATTGCCGTGTTTTTTATTTTCAATGTATTCTCCAATGTACCTTGCACCATTTTTAAATCTGTATAGCCCCTGAAACATATACATTGCAGAAATGCTTTATTGCAATGCTTATACTTGAAAAATGGCCTAACACAAAATAAGTGAGACATACAGTAAAATATTATACAACAGACCGCCCCAGTCATGCCATTGTATCCCATCTCATTTGGGGGAGGGGTGTTTCAGTTGCATTCTAAGCTTACTGAGCATGCTCAGATCTTATTTGATTTTTGGGATTCTTCTGTCTATAGGATCTTGGACAACCCTTTATCTGAAGTGCTACAGAGTTTCTTGCTTGGGTAGGGGGGGTTGAACTAGAAGACCTGCAAGGTTACTTCCAACTCTGTATTTCTTTTATCTACAGGGGAAGTAAACAAAACCCCAAGATGATAGAGTGATCAAAGCTTTATTCACATCTCGTGCACAAAAGGGCAGAGCTTCAATCATGTGACTACCCTTGACTACCATCAAGACTTTTTGGCTCCCCCTAGCTCTGCAATTAAGGGACTCCCCTTCTAAAAGTCTGCAAACATAATCATTGGAAGTCAGAAGGGTATACAAATTAAATTAAGTAAATAAATAAGTAAATAATAAATAAATAAATAAATAAATAAGCAAACTGTGAGTTTTCCTGAAACTATTGGTCCTTACCTCCTGTTCTATTTTGGCTAAGAAAATGCAGTTAAATTTTTTCATTAGCGTATATAATGAACAAATTATTTCTAACTAAATCTTACCTTTCCATTTCTTTTACCATTTGCATATTCTCCCTCATAGGTATCTCCATTGGGTAATCTGGCTTTCCCATGTCCATGCCGTTCACCAGCCTCATTACGTCCACCTTCATATTCCTAGGTAAGTAACAATAATGACCATACTATATGACATTCCATTGCTCAGCCATGAAGGCTTCTTCATGTTATCAGTTAAGAACTACCTTGCAGACAGAAGAAGCAGAGAGATACTGATTTGAGCAAAGTGAGCTTCATTACCAAATGGGGAGTTGAATTCCCATCTCCTTGATCATAGTCCAATATTCTAGCTACTATAGGATCACCAAAATCATTACTTAGCTAATGCTTAGCTATACTAAACATTAGCTTAGAGAATTAAAATGTTTCATAGGAATACATGAAGTTGCTTTACTGTGAGTCAGACCATTGGCTCAATACTACATTGTTATGAGACTACAATGTTCAGTACTACGCTATTATTACACTGAAACAGTGTTGGTATTTTTAAGATCTTGCAAGATCACACTGGCTTTTGCTACCAAAAACAATATTATTCCTCTGGAAATTTCTAGGGTTTTCAAGTAGATATCGTTCCTATTGCCAGGAACTGAACAGTCAGAATAATTAATCAGTGGAACAATTTGTCCCCAGAAGTTGTGAATGCTCCAACCCTGGAAGTTTTTAAGAAGAGATTAGACAACTGTTTGTCTGTAATTGTTTTCCTGCCTGAATAGGGGGTGGGGCTAGAAGACCCCCCAAAGTTCCTTCCAACTGTCTAGTCTAGTCTATTTTCTATTCTATTCTCTATTTATTCTCTACTCTATTCTCTATTCTGTTCTCTGTTCTAATCCAAGACCTTCAAGCATGCAGTTAATGTGTTCTGCAGGTAGAATACAGTTCTCTTTCCAATTTAAAAGCAATGTGAAGTATACATATCGGCTTCCTTATTTGAATCTTTAAAAAAAATAAGAAAAAATAATCAACTTTCTTTTATTTTAATAGCACTTTTTAAAAAAGAATTTGTTTCATTGAATCTTCTGTGGTTTAATATAATATTTTGGCAACTTGTTGCCACCCCAATTTCTGATTTTTAATTGTTTCTGCATTGGTTTATAATAAGCTTCATTCATGATTTATGATGACTTGTATTTGCCTTTTCCAAACGTTACTATCATAAAAAAATAAGCACGAATCTAGTAGAAAAACATCCATCCAGAACAATTATCAGCTGAAAAGATGTCCAGTTCAAAGAAGCCGTTCCCATGGAAGAGCCTCGCGTTTGCAACTTCTGACTCAGTCATACCTCGTTGTCATTTATAGACAGCCCCGTCCCTTCTCTTCATCTATCTCTCCCCCCCCCCCCCCATCCCATCCCCACAACCCCCACTGACCCCTAAATCATTTTCTGCCTCTTCTTCGATCTCTTCTGATCCAAGGTCCGACATACTGCATCCAGCTGTGTCACCATGGATACGGCGTTCCCGGTGGACACGCCCCCTTCCCGGCGTCCAAGGAGGCGGAACCTCTCGCCGCGGCAACCGGGTCGTTGGTTGACGTTCCCACCCCCCACTCCCTTTTCTGTGTCAGTTACGCCGCCAGGTGTCTCCAACCTTGGCAACTTTAAGCCTTGTGGACTTCAACTCCCAGAGTTCCTCAGCCAGCTTTGCTCCGGCTTCAACTCTGGGAGTTGAAGTCCACAAGGCTTAAAGTTGCCAAGGTTGCAGACTCCTGTATTTCTGATAGACAGCAGGAAGAAATTTGTCAGCGCAAATTACAGCTAAGCATTGTCAAATCGTTTAGCGCGGTTTGTTCCCGCGCACGGCTGGTTCTCCATTGCATCCCATTGCAGTTTCTCTGTAATTCAGTCAAGAAGCGAGGATCTTCGATACCACGCCACTAAGGGCAATAGCTATGTACTGCTGAGTTTTCAGTGTAATCCCTAAAGGGTTTGCTCAGTCCTAAATGGTAGTCTGTGTAAACAGGTCTTGTTTCCTTTTCTTGCTGTATTTAAGATTTGTGCCTCGGAATCGTTTCAACAACTAAGTGCAGACTCACAGGCTGACCTGTCTCATAAGGGACTCTTTCACCTAAATTAAGACTTTAAAAATTCCAGTAAAAGCCTTTCATGCATATTTTCCAATTGTAGTCCTTCTAACAGCAATTAAAGTAAGAATCATCATAGTGGCAGGTTTCCTCTATCATTCATTATATTAAGCCATAATGGCATGGGCTTGTGTAAACCCCACAATTATGACTTGTAATTTATGGAATAGTAATTGGGTCAGCTAAGCATGCTTAAGCAAATTATAGCTTAACACAATACATGAATCTGTAAGTGCTAAGAGTGGTTTAACTAAAGCACCAAGAAGTAGAGGTTAGAATCTAGCCTGATTTCCAGTTCTGTTTCACATACGTAGTCTTATGGTTTAAGTCCCACTGAATTAAAAAGATTTATTCAAACTTTCATGATGCTGCAGTTACCTTAATATTGTGAGTTTTTTTACACTGAATTCTATTTTTCCCCTCTTGTTCTGTGTTGTTATCTGAAAATTTAGACTTCATTATTAGCATTTTAATATAGGTGTCTAGGCCCAATTTTAACTTCAGGAAAACATTGTTTTCTTAGCTAAGGCCATTCTTTTGGTATGAAAGAACTTGTCAGCATTAAACAATAAAGAGCATATTCTGAAAGTTCCTGAATACATTTGCAAGTTTTAAGAAAGATACAAACCCAGTTGGGAAAGAGTAATGTAGCCCACAAATTGGCTACTTGTGAAATGTTATATAGAATCAATGTTTTCTGCTGTTCAAGCCTTACATGTAATCATTGTCTTTTACTGTTTGATCACTTTGTTTCTGATTGAAAAGAAGGATTCTGTTTATTGATGAGCAGAACCACCAACAGCATGTGGTTCTGGGGCAGCTGACCAATTGGTTGAATGAGTGGATGAATGTTTATAGGTTTCTGTGATGCTGGGGGTTGTGCAATGTCTAAATGCCTCTAGGGGTTGTGCAATATAGTGAACTCTGTGTCTTTTCCTATTCTAATGGTGATGGTTTCACCCTATTATGTCCTAAAGTTCATGTCATGTTCTTGGAATTTGGGTGGAGAAGGATGTAAATTTTAATCCCATCACTGGAGGTGAAGGTGTTTTGACTGTGAATAGGCACATTAAGAAAGACTGGGGCTGCTTTCTGCCTCTAAGAACATGTTTCTCCATTTCTCCTTTGGGGAACTATAATATTCTGCATCTTAATATTCCCCAAAATATTTCATTCTCTGGGAGGAGGGTTCCTACATATGTTTCTATACCCTATAAAAGATTTGAACTTCCCCCTTAATAAATGCTGTTTGCTTTGCCTGTATGACTTGGTGATTTATAAAATGTAATCCTCCAGAGAATTTTAAATCATTTAAAATAAATTCCTATTTTCTAGAAACCTTTGTTCACACACACACACACACACACACACACACACAAATATAAATATAAATAAAAAACTGTGGGTTGGTATCATCTCAGAATATTCAAGAGTTTACTAATTTTCTTCCACTTTTAACAGAGGGGGGCTTTAAATGTGAACAGATTAGTATTTCTTTCAATATATTAAACCAAAGCTGTCTTTTTTGTGCTTTCCCTTCCCCACTTTTTTGTTTTTCCCTAACCCATTATTTAACAGATTTAATAGATAATCAGAGTTAGAAGGGACCTTGTAGGTCATCTAGTCCAACCCCCCGCCCAAGCGGGAGACCCTACACCATTTCTGACAAATGGCAGTCCAATCTCTTCTTGAAGGTCTCAACTGATGACGCACCCACAACTTCCGAGGGCAAGCTGTTCCATTGGTTGATTGTTCTCACTGTCAGAAAGTTTCTCCTTATTTCCAGGTTAAATCTCTCCTTGTTCAGTTTTCATCCATTATTCCTTGTCTGGCCTACAGGAGCTTTAGAAAATAGCTTGACCCCCTTCCTCTCTGTGGCAGCCCCTCAAATATTGGAAGACCGCTATCATGTCTCCCCTGGTCCTTCACTTCACTAGACCAGCCAAGCCCAGTTCCTGCAACCGTTCGTTGTATGTTTTAGCCTCCAGTCCCCTAATCATCCTGGTTGCTCCTCTCTGTACTGTACTGTACTGTACTGTGTACTCTGCTCTGTACTGTACTTTATCACAGGGTTACTTTCTATCTCATTAATACTTCACAGAGTCTATTCTCTGCCCCTCAATTTCCTAAATTATCACATCTTCTTTGTGTGGAGCACATGCTCATATGTTAGCTTCACATTGGGAAGTTCAGAGCAGTCCCCCCCCCCATTCCTTGTTTCCAAGAACAGGGAGTTGGTAGATTTTGTTTTTCCAGAAGACAAATTTGCATGTGGTAATTGTTGGTTTGCCCTGAAAAATACTGCCTTCTGCAAATCATGCTATTTGCCTAGAAAATTTTGCATCATCCCATGATGTACACTGACTGCCATATTTCCACCAAAGACTGTAGCTTCAGCAAAGATCACCTAATTTATCACAAATATATCTATTCATATTTTCTCCCAAGAAATGGTAATGCAATTTTGCAATTTTGTTATAGGGTGTTGTAGCCAATGACATATAAAGTACCAGTGCATAATTATTTCTATTTGAGGAAACCAGTGGACACACTCTTTTCTTTGGGTGGATGTCAGTACTGATAGGTGTCCTCCTAATAAACATTTATTGTCTAAAGTCTAGACTAATTTATTTTGGCATGTTTTCAGTATGACATTCAGCTTCATCAGATGAATGATGTGCTATAGAATAGAAGAATAGAAGAACAGAATTCTTTATTGGCCAAATGTGACTGGATACACAAGGAATTTGTCTTTAGTGCATATGCTCTCAGTGTACATAAAAGAAAATATACATTCATCAAGAATCATAAGGTACAACACTTAATGATAGTCATAGGGTACAAATAAGCAATCAAATCATACTAGGAAACAATATAAATCGTAAGGATACAAGCAATAAAGTTACAGTCATACAGTCCCAAGTGGGAGGGGAAGGGGCGATAAGGAGTGATGAAAAGATTAATAGTAATAGTAGTGCAGACTTTGTAAATAGTTGGACAGTGTTGAGGGAATTTGTTTAGCAGAGGGATGGTGTTTAGGAAAAAACTGTCCTTGTGTCTAGTTGTTCTGGTATGCAGTGCTCTATAGCATCGTTTTGAGGGTAGGAGTTGAAACAGTTTATGTCCAGAATGTGAGGAGTCTATAAATATTTTTGCATCCCTCTTTTTGACTCGTGCAGTATAAGGTCCTTAAGTGAAGGCAGGTGGGTAGTAATTGTTTTTTTCTGCAGTCCTAATTATCCTCTGAAATCTGTGACTGTTCTGTTGGGTTGCAGAGCCAAACCAGACAGTTATAGAGGTGCAGATAACAGACTCAATAATTAATTCCTTTGTAGAACTGGGTCAGCAGCTCCTTGCGCAGTTTGAGCTTTCTAAGTTGGCACAGAAAGAATATTCTTTGCTGTGCTTCTTTGATGATGTTTTTGATGTTAGGTGTCCATTTTAGGTCTTGAGATATGATATAGTAAGTTAAGTACAGATTTTTTTTAAAGATACACAGCTTAAAAATCCAGTAAAACAGCTTAGAGATGTTCTTGTAGAACAGGGCTGTCAAACTCCTGGCCCACAGGCCGGATGCATCACGCTCTGGCCACGCCCACACCCAGTTTAGCAAAGGGGGGAAGTCCCGATATGTCACATGATGCAGCCATGGTGTGAGTTTGACACTCCTGTTGTAGAGGAAGCACAGTAAGCATATCTTTTGTAATGTTCGTTGTTATTATCAAAATAAGCATTTATTTCTTATGGTTATGGTTTTCCTGTTTTACAAAACAAAACAAGAATAGGCAAACTGTGAAGGAGGAGGTACTGTTTTCTTTTCCTCTCTTTACTTTCCTCCAGGTCTAGGCAACTAGCTTGATTCCAGAAGAAAGTTTGCTCCCTGGAGATAAGGAGATATTTTAGTTAGATAAATGATATCATCAGATTTCATTTGTATAATATTTCTGTGTAAACACTAATATAAATGAAATACCACATCCGTGCACAATAGCAAATTAGCTGTAAATTTGAGTTCCCAAAATTTAGTAGAAATATAAATAGCAATGCATTTAAAAGAGACCTATCTCCAAATCAAATCAGCATAGAAAATTAACTGACTGGAAATAGGGAAGAAAGAGAAGAGGGAACAACATTAATAACATATAACCTGGAAGGGCATGATTAACTGCAGTCCTGGATAAAAGTGCAATTTTACCACTTCTGATTCTCTAAGAGCCAGCTCTTTCTTTTTAATGGTTGAAATGTTTTCATGCCTACTCCAAGACATGCATGAGATTGTGCAAACCTGTACAAGTTATTTACTATTAAATCCTTCTATATATCCAGAGATACTTAACTTTCTACCGATGATGCACGGGATGGTAACCTTTAAAA